CTATTAGAAGTATATATGTACTTCAATAATATTTGTATTAGATAAGGATATATAGAATTGTAATTGTTTATTGTTATGATATATTAACACTTTTTTTCTCTGCTGTATTTTTTTCACTTTTTTGTTAATGCACTTTTATGTATTTTCTTCTTCTTTTTGTAATCAAACAAATAAATACTGAAAATGTGGATGCAGGAAGAGAGTACTAGCAATTTATGTTATTTCTCTTTCTGTAGAATGAGGATATGTGGATTTTTGTTGCTCTAGGACTTGTGATGGCTCATGGTGTTTGTGTGAGGACAATTGTGAGTCAGTTTCAAACTCTTCAAGGATTGAGGGATGGAAACAGTGTGATAAAGTGAATCTTGGGGAATCAAAATATTACCCCAAGGGAGCTAACTTATTTAGCATAATTCAGTAAAAGCAACCCTTTGGCTGTGAGCATTGCTTTAAAATATCTACAGTAATGTTTTGTGAATAATGAGAGGTAGCGAGAGGTCAGTTTCCTGGACAACATCCAGGAGCCAAATAGTCAGTTATCACATTAAATGACTGTAAGACAGTAAGCATTTCCCCCCCCCCCCTTAAAACAGTGGGTTACTGGCTCTTTGCTGTGAGTCATGAGGCCAAAATCCATGTTTAGTCTGTTTTTGTAGACCCTGATGAGAAACTAGAGGTCAAGTCTAGTATGTTTTTTCATACATCAGAGCCCTGCTTTTATTTGAAAGACTCTATTTCAGCTTCCTCCATTATTGCTGCTTTCAACAAAGGAGTCTGTAAAAAAGTGAAATTCAGCTTCTAATTTCAGTTTGCTGACATCTGTACCACGGCCCTATGCATGTTTACTCAGGGGTATGTCTTACCATATTCAGTTGGACTCACTTCCCAATAAGTGTGTTTAAGGATTGTAGGTTTATTCCATCATTTTTTCCCTTTCTTGAACTATCCCTCATTTGGTTTAAGCACAATCACTCAACTACTCCAGACAGCTTATAAGACTTCCTGATAATATATATTCCAAAGAGAGAGAATGTGGCAGGCAGACAGAACATATATATGTTTCCTGTTTGGCTTGAGTCTTTTTCTATTTCCAAAAGTTAATTGAATAATGTCAGCTCTCTTATCATTAGATGATTCAAATCACTTAGAAATGGATTAGATTAATTGCCTGGAACTAATTTTAACTCTGGACCACTTTTAATGACACAGGAAGCAGGGACAGTTTGCTAGCAGCAGATTGTCTGCTTTCAAGAGAAATAGCTCTTTGGAAAAGACACATATTGGTCCTGTCTGTGTCAGCCTCCTTTCTCTATTACATCAGCAGAGGATCTGATGCAGATTTGGGCATACACTTTTGGATCCAGCTTTCAGGTTCTTCTTCTACTCACCACTGGCATTCTCTTCCATCTTGACAGGCATAAGAGGACTTTGTGGAGCAGAGTCCCCACTCAGGGAGTAGCTGTGCTCTGCCTGGATGCCAGGAGTGGGAGGATCCAGATCCATGTCCAGCAAAGGGTTCTTTTCAACCAGCATCGGGTCATCAAAGAAGCTGTTGAACAGTTCATTGGAAAAGTCCTCCATGTTTTCAGAGAAGTGGTCAAAGCTCTCGGAGAAATGCTGAGAAAAGGGATAAGGGGAAAAAAGTGTGAACAGTATCATCTCCGTGAGAGACTAGAGGGCCTTCTACTGAAATGTATCCCAAGCCAGACACACTGGGAGCCAGATCATTTGGATGAGAAACAACTATATTCATCTTTTATTCTTTCTGTTTTCACAGCTCCAGAAAAAACCAACCAGCCAAAATCCACATGAAGTACATGCCTGCCCATTTTCTTCACTTTAATTTAACTATCTTAATTTAATGCATTTTTTTATTCTCTCTGTATTCTGTCTTTTCCAACAACAAGCTAATGTTTTATTGAAACGAATTAATTGGAACATCAGAATTACAGGTTTGCCAACACTGGTGTATACCACTTTTTTTTTTTTTTTTACTTTGAAGCCTTCTAAACATATTATCTTACAACTCTCATCGTCTTCACTAGTATGTATACTGTTGGTGTGCACTTTTCAAATTATCAACGCATCTTTGTAAGGTTTCTGTGCAGTGACAATGATCAAAGGCTTATATGCCTAAATTATTTTTTATAAAATGCCCTTGGGGTATCATTTTGTTGTTCTTATAAATCATTGTGAAATCAAATTGATATATAATCAGCCTCATAGGAAGGAGGGAATATTATTCATCATGAGAAGAGATGTTACTGGATTGTCATGGAACATATCCTTCCAATGCCTTTTTTTCCTATAGAGCATATCCATTTGTGGAAAGCTTTGCCATATTATACTTTGGAGAAACCTTGGCAGAAACTCATGCACCATGATACTGATATTTATTCAAAAAACTGTTCGGTGTTAATACAGTACAGAAGTTCTTCTTTTTATAATGTAAACCAATTCTATGTACCCTCAAGTGCACAGTGTTCTAACTTTAGAAGTAACTAAACAGTAAAGAGTCATGAGTACCTTATTATGTATGTTTACAATGCAAGCACATGTCACAAGTCACGGTAAAGTATTGACAGTTCTAGAAGACACAAGAAGTCATACTGTGCTTCAGATCGTACTTTATAAAACAGTGCATCCACTTTATGCACATCACTACAGCTATGTAGGAATGCAACTGGCATTACAATTCCACTGACGTTCAATGAATTTTAGTTTAATTTAATTTAATTTCCCAGATTTAATTTCCCTTCATTCATACTGTGTTTGCTTTTTAAACACACACATACACACACACACACACACTATTTATTGTACATACATTTTCACAGGTAAGTAGGGTTTCATAATAAATTCTGTAATAATTCATAGCTGTGCTGCTACATAAATGCACAGTGAAAATAGCCTTCAGGAAAATCTGTGAATTTTCTCTTGGCAAAATCCCCTTCCTTCAAATAAAAAATGAAGATGGGTAAAAATACTTTAAAAATCATCCTAACACTCCCACTAGTAAAATTTATATTGCTGTTAGATTGAAATACGTATTATTCTGTAACACAAGGAAACTATAGTCTTTGAAAAGGTGACATAAAAGTTGTTTGGGGTGAAAACAGAATACAGGAAAAGAAATACATATTACCAGCAGAATAGGATGGGGACTATATTGTGTCAATGTGAGTGGACCAAATTACACAATGAAGGAAAACCACTAGGGTAAATTATGTCCCTCCCCCCAAATCTTTCTTGTAGGGAGAAATAATCTGCAGATCTAAATACACTTTTCAAAATCATGTTACTGGCATCTGAAAATAGTATTCTAGATCATCAGGTGTAGATGATGCTTATTGCAGGAAATGCTACTATAAACCCTGCTATTTCTTTCAGCACTTATCAGTTATGGAGTTGATCTTTCAAAAGTAGTTTTGTCATCTTCTAGGTTTTTTTTTTTTTTTTTAATATCCCACCAGGATATACTTCTTGGTTTTTGCAATTTAAAATACGTTGCCATAAAATCTTCACACAGTGACTTCTTAAAGTTCTTCCCTTCTTCGCATTCTTCTGAAAACGGTTCCCTTTCCTATTCTGCTCACATAACTCAGCTTTCATATAAGAAACAGGAATACTTTCATAAGTCTCCAGAACCAATCCATCCACTGAACTTTAAATAATGCAAAACATGAGGAACTTACAAACAAATACTATATGGTACAGATAGTGTCACTGAGATAACAAGAAGCCCCCTCTGGTCCTGCATATGTGTGGGTTCCAAGACCAACTATTCCTGTCCATTTTTTATATAGGAATACATTTAAATAAATGTCAACAAAATTAACCAAATAAAAAGGGGTGCTATTTTTAATTTCCTTGAGGCTTCTAATAATTGTTTGAGCAAAAAGTTATATAATATTGGTGAATATTTGGCTTACTGACAGTGTTTAACTTGACTTGGTCATATCCTAATGATTAAAGAACCCACATCTAATAAATCAAAACAATGGTTCTAATATAGCACCTTCCAGTTCTGCTTTTCTATTTTGGTAAAAAAAACCAAACACTATTGTTCCAGGTTTTTTAACATCAACTGGAAGTAAACCTGAATTCCTACCCTGGTAGATGGATTGGGAGTTCCAGAATCTAAAGAAAATTAGTCCCCTTCCAAAGAAAAGTGGATGGTATTAAACTTCCATCTACTGGGAGAAAAGGCCTGAAGAGCTAATCGAACTGCCCACCTTAACTTTACTAGGACCTGATGCATGTTTGGTAGGTAGTTTTGGCTGGAAAGCTAAATTGGTCACCAACAGAAAGTGACCAGCTGGAATGAGATAAGAAATCAAAACAAGTCTTTCCAGTTATCTTACTTTTTCAATGAAAGTACCAAAATGAACCACCTTTCAGTAAGAGTTTCATATGTGGAAAACAGAAGGAAATAAAACTGTCTTCTTACGTGTTTAAGCTTCCTCCCCTCCTCCATATTCATATAAGCTCCACTTTCATCAACATTCCTATGAACACACTAGTTATACTTCTAGAAGATGTCCTTATTGTGCAGATGTCATTCTTTTTCCATGGAGGGGAGGAGGGCACTCTAGGTAGCATTGTGTTTCTTCTCTACTCCATCTGTTTTTCCATTCTCTCTCTTCCTTTTACACACTTCCTCTTGCTCACATGTAAAACCTAAGAAGGAAAAGGCTGGTGCTATATTACTCCAGTTCTGTAGCAATTTTTTCCCTATCTGCAACATCAGATCTAAGATTAGGAGAGGCCTAACTCCATTTAACTCAGCAGTGCCTACACTAACTGGCAATAGTTCTCCACACTTCATATTGCAGATCACACCCAATGTCCACAGCAGTCGGGGTTATATGCTACAGACTAGCTGTATTCATACACCACACATAACCAAGTCGAGTAAACAGATGTTCACACAACATGCTTAACATTTTTTATGGTTTAGGAGTAATGCAAACCAAGTCTGTTCATTTCATTTATAGGTCAAGGTATTGGGCTAACCCAGAAAATCATTTAAATTGGTAATCAGTTGTCTGAATGCAGCCCTTATTTTCTATAGCAGTGGATAGCCTTGGAATTTGCTAGTGATAAAATCTTGCAAGCTGGATGCTGAAATAGCAAGATACCCTAGATGCTTTAGATATCATTCAACAACTGCATATTTATTTCAGACTTATTGTGCAAAAGAGAAAAAAAATGTAATTATCTTAAGTTTGAGTTGGTGCTAGAAAGGGAAATGCTTTGGAGGATGACATAAAATGTTCATAATGTCAGATGGAAGGCAGAAGAGAGAAAATATGATATAATGAGAATCAGAGATTAAAGCAAATAAAAGAACAATAAAGAAGCTGTCTTTGTATTCTAGTAGCCAGTATATTCAATAAATAATTTTTTTCTTCCTAGTGTTTTCCCACAAATGCAGGATCCGCTTTTTCAGATCAACCACTAGACCAAACTAATGTTTGGGGTCTAAAGTACAATATATTCAAATCAAATTGAATTCAATTGTTAAGCACAATTACATGTTCAGTATCATTCTAAAAGCATCACCAAGTTGATTTGTGAAGCTACTTTTTAAAAATATACCATTTGATTTAGCAAAAATGTTGATGCCAAAAACTTTGATAAGGTTTATAACTGCATTCAAATTGCATTAGATCTGATTTCTTTATATTTACATGGCAAGAACATCACCTTAATGCACACACAAAGTGTGCTTGTAAATGTATACTCATGTAGGAAGTAGAAGATTGAGGATTTGAACTGCATCAACTTTTTCAATGTCATATTTTCATTTGTTGTTGGAAAAAAGCAGGTAACTGCATACAAAAGTTCAAACAAAAGAATTTCAAAATTTATAATGCATTGCTGGGACCTTTGGGAAGTAAGTCCTATTGAATTTAATGGGACTTCATAGTTAAACAGTGTTTATAGTTATGGTTTATAGTCTGAGCCTTTTGTCTGACATTGGGTCAGGATATACATGCATGCACACACACACACATGCAAATATATTCTTAGTTACATGTACATATAGGACACCCATTTGTGTACATTTGTGTTTGCCTCTTCTTTCTCCCCCTGATCTGACTCCAGATCTGTTTTCTGGCAGCCACAAGTACCCGGGAAATAATTATCTATTTTCCCAACTCAGCTTCCAACTGCTCAGTTGAGTGGCAGGGGAAGGGAGTGGGGCTCCCAGATCCCAATGAAAGCAACCAAGCCAGGGCTGTGGTTTGCACATCTGTGATACGTAGGATTCTTGACAGCGGCACAGTAGAGAACATCTTTATGGCTAGCCAATCTTCATACTGCAATATATGATCTTTTTAGTTATGCTGATTTTTTTTTTAATCTATGGCCATACAAAAGTTAAGTAGTTACACTGGACTAGAATGTATATAAAACTTTAACAAATAACTTCCCTTTTTCCCAACATCCTGACAAGTTGCAAGAAAGCTTTTCTGTGCAAACTGTAAGAAGTCAGAAATTTCATCTAATAACTTTCAACCCTCCTGAGAATAAGCCTAATTGTTTCAGCTTACGCATTCCCGAGCTTCGGAAGCTGGCTTACTAGCTGACTTCGAGCCAGTCATCCTCTCTCAGCCCAACCTATCCCACAAGGTTGTTGTGAGAAGGAGTAGAGGAAGGAGTGTTATGTACAGGGCCTTGAGTTCCTGGAGAAAAGACAGGATATAAATCTGACTAACTAACCAAATATTTATGTAAGAACCGTATATATGTAGTTAGGCTCATACATTGTCTGAAGCTAAGATTTCTTCAATAAGCTGTAATGGCTAGATTCACGCATAATACTAGACAGTAAAATGTGTCTTAGAAACCCAGCCATGATGGCTAAATTAAGCTAAAACCAAAACTGAGCTAAAACCAAACGCATTACAACTAGCAGCCAGTGTGTCAAGTTCCTGCTCAGAAGCAGAAACACTAATGAGATTAATTCTACTACTCCTAAGTGCTACTCAAACTTAATGTGGTTGTTTAAAAAAAATATATTTTTCCTGTATTACAATTATATTGCCTGCCTTTTAAAAGGTAGCATCCTTGGGGAAAAGATGGGTCTGAATAAATATTTAAAGTGGTGGTTTATATAAAATGCCGACAAGACAAAACGTGCAGGGTGTTTATACGCCCCTCTGTTGCATCTTACTTCCCTTGGGCAGCAGCGGTTCTTTGCCTTATCCCAGGCTGACAAAATCCCTCGTCAGTCTCGCCAAGAAAAGGCAGAGGGAGGAGATGACCTCAACACCCCGGATAGGACCCAGGGTAAGTTCCTGTTCCAACAGAAAGGTCTGTTTGTTTTATTCAAGGACAATATCATTGTGTAAATAAATGCCAGGCAATGGGAAGGGTGCAGAGGTACTGGTGAATGGGATAGGTCTTAAGTGTCATTTATCAAACATCAGTCCCCAGCCTTGTTCTTAAAAGGGTGGAGAATAAGGGAGTGCAGTTAGAAGAAGGCTCCAGTTTAATATATACTCAGTCAACGGGACTATAACTGAAGCTACCACATGGAGTTATTTAGGCTTGCAACTGCATCTCAGCTGTCAGCATTGTAAAAACTTTCAAAATGCACACAAAAGATGTACCCACGATTATTCAAACAGACTGAGTAGCTATAAATCTCAAACGAAACTATATAGAATCCTTAAGTGGCTCAAAGAAATTGTCTGTAGGATGCTTACAAGGAAGGTAACATCTAATATCAATGTTCAATCATGTTCAGTTATTAGTTCTGAACATCAAATGCCCAAATTTGCAAGATTAACTCATAATTTCCACTAAAACAGTTGCTCACGTGTTAATTTTTTCATCTGCTTTTTAGAAGTTGTACATGTGATAACAAGGGAATGGATTGAACCTGGGCATTTAAAAAAAACTAAAAATTAATCTCTGCTAGTAATTCACTGTAGTATGGATTACTAAATTGGATGTCCCAAAAGTTGGGAAAGAGATAAAATCAAGATCTAAAAAATAAAAAACCATCTAGATCTGTTGGCAACCTTTAATATATGTTAGACTTCACTGTCTTTCTATTTAGCTGGATCAAGCATTCATAAAACTGATCTGCAGTTTTAAAGAGAATTCAGGAATGAATTAAAGGATTTGGTTAGATAGTCTGGATAACTGTCTTGGAGAAAGTTTTCTTGTAAACTGGGAAAAAGCCTAATGGCAGTTAGCCAAACTTCCCCAAGATGGTAGCTTGGACTTGTGATTGGAATTTAGTTCCAACATATCCATGTTGGCTGGGAATTACAGGACTTGAACTCCCAGATAATCCTAAGGCACCACCTTGGGAAAGGCTGCTGTATACATTCTTTGCCTATATTTAATAAGGAAAGCTGCATCGGAGAAGAATGTTGCTTATGTTTAGTGATCTAAAATATTTACTTCCATGGCATTTTGTAACATGGTTAAACTTGGAAAGATCAGCAGAGAATCCCTGCAACATCTTCATCAACTTCTTATGTAACTTTTGGATGTAATTGCCTTCCATTATCTCTAGCTTACATAGTTGATATACTACTGATTGAGTGATGAGACTTGTGATTTAACACATATGAAAGATGCCACACTGGGGAGAGCTACCCTAAGATGTGGAATAACATATAAAAAGAGGGGTTCAAAATAATATTTTTGATTGCTGTGGCATGGAGCCACGAAACCCAGAACTATGCATTGATTTTGTATCTTGGCCTTTTTGTCATTTTGTTTGTTTTGCCATAGACAAATGTAGGCCTGTTTGCATCACTTTAGAGTAACATGCTATGTTGTATTAAGGTTATACAGTAGAACTGATAGAGGATTAAGGAGGTAACCCTGTGTCTGGACTGTACCATTCCAGATACCAGATCCAGATGCCAGAAAGATGGCCAAATCCTCCATATACACAAATTCCTCTTTCTAATATTTCAGTGGGGAAGAGTTCCAATGCTGGTATGTTTTATGTGAATGGTACATTAATTTAGGAAGGAATGCTATAAGGTGAAATCCATACCTTTTGTCTTTACTGGTGAGACCAAACTTAAATTTATCACCATAACAAGGACTAAGCCAGAACAATATTGGCCCAAAATTAATTGCTTGTTGAAGTAGAGCCAAAATAGTTCCCAACTACCACCAATTTGTTGCTCAGACTAACACTCGCTGAGCCATTCAAACATTAATTTCCATAATTAACTAATATGATCCCTCCTGAAACAGCTATTTCACCTGTTACCTGGCAGGATGAGACTTGTATATAAATAGAATAGAATAGAATAGAAATCTTTATTGTCATTGTACAACTTGTACAACGAAATTAATGTTTTATGTGTTTTATGGTTTTTATATTTTTAAAGCTGCACTGGGGTGGCATTAATTTCGTTGTACAAGTTGTACAATGACAATAAAGATTTCTATTCTATTCTATTCTATTTATATACAAGTCTCATCCTGCCAGGTAACAGGTGAAATAGCTGTTTCAGGAGGGATCATATTAGTTAATTATGGAAATTAAACACACATAAAACACATATAACACAACCTTCACATTCCATATTGCACAACCCCTGATGCTGCA